TGCCGAGGAGTTATCGAAGAGTGCCGGAAAGTCTGCGGCCGTGGATCGGTTTGGGAATGCCGGAAAATGGCGGACGCAGGGCGAGAAACACCCGAACCGCGCCGGGAGGTGGCGGATGACGGCCGACGAGAGAGCGGGACACCCCGTGTACTGTCTCCCGGGGGCGGTGACCGGTGCTCCTTGTTCACGGGGTGCAGCAGCGTGTGGTGATCCTGACCACACGTCTTACAGCCGTCCCCACGCCGACAGGATCCGTCGGAGTGCTCGTGGGCCAGGCAGCTCGAGCAATAGCGGTTCACGAGAACCGCTCGGAGCCGCTCCTCGGCACTAAGGCGTAGGAAGCGCCGACACCTCTTCAATGGATGGATCCCATTGCAGACTCGGCATCGGTAGGATTGTGTACCTCGAGTACATCTGCTCTCCAGTGACGGATCAGTCGGATCATCAGCTGATTGCCACCGTGCAGCGTGATGCGATGTGTAAATCGAAGAAGGAGTCGAGACAGAGTTGTGCTCGCATCCTGAATCGAAACCCTGAACCTGTGAGTCACCGAGGCTGCGGGCAACTCTTACGGAAAAGACAGACACGCTGCGGGGGTTAGCTGGAGACAATGGGCCTGTCAGCACCCATCCAAAAATGGTCTCCTGACCGAGAAGCGACCCGCAGATGTTAGCCTTGGAATTACAGAGGAGAATGGACGGAAGAATGTCAGCTCCTAATAACACATCGATTTGGGAGCTCTCAAAGAAGTTGGGGTCCGCCAGGGGAATGTCGGGCAGCCCCTTGAGAAGATCTCGCGAAAACGGATATGATGGCAGATTTCCTGCCAACTGCGGCAGAACGTAGGCCGTAGTCTCTAATTGTAGCCCGGGTCTAGACGGCGACCGAATGGAGAAATGGCACAATTTTGTAGACTGCGCGGAAATGGTCTGATTAAGGCCGGAAACTTGGGCTTGAATCGTCTTGAAGGGAGGCTTGACGAGGTTGAACAGTCGTTCCGTTATGAACGTCGCTTCGGAGCCTGGGTCTATCAGTGCTCGTGCCTGGACGGTGCACCCCAAATGGCACACGTTGATAAGGGCCGTGCCCAGTAGGACGGCTCCTGACCCGGAAGCGAAACACACCTGCACATTCGACTGATCCTCTGAGCCGTTTGTTGACGTAGGCGGACTTGGAGCGGTAAGCTGCGTAGGCGGACTTGGAGCGGTTGCGAATGGATTGCCGCGGTGCAAGAGGGTGTGGTGTCTGCTGTGGCATGTGGAGCAGGTATGGGCGCTCGTGCAGTCTCGCTGCTGGTGCCCTCGGGCAAAACAGTTTAAACATAACTGCTTCCTCCTTATGTAGTCAGAGCGCCCATTTACATCCATTTCTAGGAAACGCGGACATAAGCGAATGGGGTGGTCCTCCCTCGAACAGAGATCGCAGCCCTTTTGGCTCGGAACCACTCGAGTCTCGTATGAAGTGAGCCTCCGAGCAGGGGCAGTAGGAAGTCCCGACCTTGGCGGAAATTGCACGGAGCCACTAGGCCTGACGTCGTCGATGGCCTCCAGAGTGCGATGGCGCTCTGTCAGGAAGTTATCTAACTCCTTCCATGTTGGAATCTCGGCCTTATTATGTACGGATTGCTCCCACATAGAAAGTGTGACCTTGGGGAGTTTTGACGAAATCATAAATACAAGGAGACAGTCCCAAGCCTCAACATTAACGGAGGACATTTCTAGGGCTGTCAAACAACTCTGAATGGTAGCTTGCAGCTCCTTCAGCGCGACCCCGGACTCTTGCGAAATAGCCTGGATGTTGAAAAGGATCTTCAACTGGCTGTTGACCAATAGCCGCCGGTTCTCAAAGCGGTCTGTGAGGCTTTGCCATGCGGCGACAAACCCCTCATGGGTAAGCGGAGCCTTAGAAACAATGGCGTGGGCGTCACCACTTGTCTTAGACAATAAGTGGAACAACTTCTCTACCGGGGTGAGCCGCGAGTTTTGGATGTAAATGGCCGTAAACAAGTCTCTGAAGGTGGGCCACCGAAGATAATCACCCGCGAAGACCTCGGTATCCACCGGAGGTAACCGGCAGCCTGTAGGCGCGGGCGTGTGGACATTGACGGGAGCCTGAGTGGATTGGGACGCAATTTTCTCCCGAAGCTGGGCAATACATCTCGAATAGACGGAGTAACAGTAGCTGTACTTCGCTTCCAGCACTGTCGAGGCGGCCGCATTGTCGTCGGACACGGCTAGCAAATCGGAGCAGCTCTCATAGCTCTTCTCCACCTTCTCCCATAGTGCCCGAATTTGGTCCCGATGAACTTCGCACATGTATTGGGATCTTACTTCCGTATCTCTGGCGCCCGGAGTATTAATGTTAGCCTCAAATTGGCTAATTCGATCTGTTGTGGCGATGAACTTTTTCAACGCCACTTCGACCGCACTTGGAGCCATTTTTGCGACGGAGTGAGTCTGCCTCTGTGAAGGACCGGGGGTTGTATTGACGGATTCGTCACTCCTTGCCCTTGGACTGGCACTGGTAGCCTTAGGCTTCAAAAGAGGCGTCCGCGGAGATGCGGATTGAGATCTGTCCAAACGGATGGCTGGGATCGAACGCGGCTTTTTGTCGTCTCCCGTGGGCATTCTCAGAGTCCAATTCGCTGATCAGCGCTTGTCGACTGACTCGCGCAACAGGTGCCCCGTACGAAGTGGTGGCCGGTCGCACTAATGCGATGAGAACGGTGAGATCGCGGATGAAAGGCAATTACAAGGAGCAAGTGCGAACTAGTGGCGCCGATGTGGAAAGGAAAGTCGTGTGCGGCACAATTCGAATGTGGAAAGAAAAACTTCAGGCACCAGAAAAAACCCAAAAGGAGACGAGGTTTGTTCGGATTGTAGGCGGATGTTGCCTGATGCGGAGTAGAAGCAGAGTTGGAGGCACGAAAAAATGGAAAAGGTACCGGAAAATTCGTGCTTGTTCGGAAAAAAATGATGACGGTCTATATATGTATGTATATTTCGACTTGTGTGGTTCGTACTGAATTTAATATATACTGAGATATTAAACTCTTCACTATTTTCGAATTTGCGGAGCCGGAAGGTGGACTTAACTTTGGCTTGAATTAAACACACAAAAATATAAATAATTAATTTTTGGCTAACTTTCGGATTTAAATATGATGGAGCCAGAAGGGTGGAGTTGAAAATCTTAATTTTTAATCAATTGAGGTTAATTATCACGAAGCTGGAACGGTGGAATTGAAACCTAAATATTTAATTAATTGAATTTAATTAACACGAAGCCGGGAAGATGGAATTAAAAACCGCGGCTCTATTCGGACAGAAGGTGGATAATTAAATTAATTAATTATAATTTTCCGATAATTAAATCTTCGACTTTAATTATTGAGTGGTCGGAAAGGTGAATTAAAAAACCTGGCCCTTTGCTCAAACGGAAAATAAGAATTAAATAAATTTTCGTAGTTATAATTATAAATACATAAATTTATAATTAATTGATTTTTTAATCTATTTTGTTATGCAGCCGGTTATGCCGTCGGCACCCTGTACGTACCTCAAAGAAAAATAAACAGAACCGAAAAACACAACACGGCTAGGTCGAGAATTTAAGCGACACAATCACGGATTTGTAGTGAAATGGCGGTTTATAATTGTTGGTTTTAGAGAATGTAAAATATTTTTTTAAATTTTATCGGCTATATATTTCCTGAAATTGGAGGCAGAAAATATTTGGAAATTATATGGACATGCATGCAAGTAGGGCAAGGGCATGTGGGGCATATGATGGTACAGTAGAGCTTCGAGAAGTGGACTGTATATGTTAAATTTTATCGGTTATATATTTCCTGGAATTGAAGGCAAAAAATATATGAACATGCATGCAGGTACGGATATATGTAAGGGCATGTGGGCATATGTTGGCACAGTGGATCTTTGATAAGTGGACTGTATAATTGGGGGAACAGAAAAGTTATGTGGTGTAAAAAATGACACTGATTGAGGAAGATAAAAACAAATATTACGACAGCGGCGGACTGTTCGGTGAATTTGGAAATTCCGGAACTAATTCACACCGGTGGCCAATATTAATTATGCCTTCTTTTCGTCACCACACAATTTCACTGTTCACTTGCGAATTTTTCGCGGATTAATTGCACCAAAAAATATGTATGTGCGTATGTATGTATGCGGATGCACATATGCCTCGACCGTTGGCAAGCGAATGGATAACGGAGAGGCCGAAAACGGCGAGGAATATGGGCAGCACACAAAACGGAGACGGATAGAAAAATTTGCCGAATTTTAAGATTATTATAAATTATTAGAAAATCTCAACCTGCCGTTGTGTCGGAAAACTCGGACTTGGAGTTGACACGGAGGGAAAAACACTCTTGCAGCAGTGTGAACGAAATTTAATGTTCGGATCACTGCTGAAGACCGGCAGAGAGATGGGGACGGAAAAATGTACTTATCTTTTGGCGGAACAATGCCGAGAACTGCTGGCAGAAGAAAATCCAGTAATTATCCGGCTCGAAGGACCAAAATGTGTAGGGGGGCGTGGTTCCGCAAATAGATCCCAGAAAAATTAGAATGTTGAAATAAGAAGTCGGGGGCGTCTTTCGGATGGTATAACGCGGTCAGCTTTATTCGGCTGCTTACATGAGATAACTTAACTTAGAAAAGCAAACAAGGCAAAAGTAATAGAAAAAATACGATCGACGACGGCCGACGAAGGAGCGAGAGCGCAAAGGGGGGCGAGCGCGGATGCGCTCTTCAGCTCGGGTGCGCTCTTCAGTGCTGGTGCGCTCTTCAGCGCGGGTGCGCTCTTAAAGTTGCGGCACAACGGCCCCTCACGTAAACAATAAGGATCGGCCAACTATATATATATCCGGTTTTAACTGCAAGGGTATATAAACTTCGGCTCCGCCCGAAGTTAGCTTTCCTTTCTTGTTCTAGTGTGAAACTCTCGAAATTTTTTTATATCCTTTTTTTTAGATTCGGCAGCCTCTTCCGACAACTTTCCTATCGAAACGAGGGCATAGCTGATAATTTCAGAACCGTGGACTAGAACTTTGTGAATGGATGGTGGAAGGTAATTTAGGCAATGGATAAAATTTAGAAAGAACTTGTGCGTTGTCAAGTGCAAAGTATTGATTTTATAGCCAGATGCCCTAATTAAAACACCTAATAAAAACATTTTTATCCAATCCTGTAATATCAGCAGACAATTTTGTATCGCTAAAAAATTTTCTTGCCGTATTTCCATCATTTGAAGTTCCACTATCTCCACTTCTTGGTTGGTCGACATGTAATCCCATTTGGGCGCCCTAAATAATTTGTTATCTTCTGGTGTAGATATTCGCCAATTTTTCATATGCAATCCATAGGAAAAATGCATGGAATATTACAAAAACCGAATATATGAGTGCAATGGATACAACCTAAATTCAAAATGTTCTTTTGTGATTTTTTTTCTAAACATATTTTCAAATACATAATTTTTTTTGCTTTTATATGTAGCATTTACAAGGAGATTTTTTCACATCCGTGAACCATTGTTAATTGCAAACGATGTGAAATTTTTATAGATTTGGTAAGTACTTTACATTTATATGACTCCAGTCTCTCAAGTATTTAGCTTCATCTTGAGTTAGAATTAGTTTTTGAAATTGGTACCTTATTGGTCTGCAGTAACGTTATGATGACGGTCGACGATTTTTTTAAATTACTTTGTGTTTTCTGGGAGCATTATTTTGAGTAATTACGAGGGTTGCTATATATATTTCTGGCCTAATACTGAAAATGCGAATATTTATGATTAAAAATGGTTTTATTGTTTTTCAAAGTATTCTCCAGAAAGACTTATACACTTTTGCATGCGCTCAAACCAAAGCACTTTGTCCACTCCGATTGAGACATCGTTCACCACGCAGGCGTCGAAAATCGTTGACCACGCATTTTTCTCTTGATGTGCGGGAATAAAAAGAAGTCATTGGGTGCCAAGTCAGGGCTGTATGGCGGATGATCCATCAATTCGACATTTTGGCCGGTCGAAAAGGCGCTGGTTTGAGCTGATGCTGACCACGCAGGCGTCGCAAATCGTTGACCACGCATTTTTCTCTTGATGTGCGGGAATAAAAAGAAGTCATTGGGTGCCAAGTCAGGGCTGTATGGCGGATGATCCATCAATTCGACATGTTGGCCGGTCGAAAAGGCGCTGGTTTGAGCTGATGTGTGAGAGCTCGCATTATCATGGTGCAGAATGATCCGTCTTCTCTTGTTCGTTTTTTGAATTTCTCCGAAGATTTCAGGCAAACAAATTGTGGTGCACCACTCAGAAGTGACCGTCCTACGTTGCTCAAGCGAGCCAGTCGCTACATGATCTGTTTTACCGAAGAAACAGGCCATTTGCTTCGAAGTGATTCTTCCATGAACTACTTTCGTTGGATTTGGTTCGTCTTCGAAGACCCACACGGTCGATTTCTGTTTTGTTTGGGCTCATAAGCATAGATCCATGAGTTGTCACCTTTGACGATCTTATAAACGTCTTTTGAAACACCGCAACTGTATTTTTTCAAATTTTTTTTGCAATAATCCATACGAGTTTCTTTTTGAGCGATTGTCAAATTGTGCGGGATCTAACGAGAACAACTTTTTTTTACGACCAAATGTTCATGCAATATCGAATGTATGCTGGTGGAAGAAATGACCAAGGATGCTATATCTCACGGCATGTCACATGACGATCTTGCATTATCAGTTCATGAACGGCGTCAATCTTCTCTGGAACAAAGACTGTATTTTGACGACCTTCGTCTTCGAGCGAGCGTCGGCCACGATTGAATTCATTATACCAGTTTTTCACAGTGCTATAATATGGGGCTCCATCGCCATACAAAGATTAAAGTTCATCGATGCACCCTTGTCGTGTTAATTCACGTCAAAAGCAGTGAAAAATGATTGCGCGAAAATGTTTACGAGTTATTTTCATTTTCTGGCAAATTGATTTTTACAAGTCACTGTAAACAACACAAATTATGGCCGTACGTGAAAACGTTCTGAGCACGTTTCTGCTAAAACATGTTAAACTTCCAAATAAAAAGTTAGATGGCGCCAGGCAACATTTAGTATGGCCTAAGCCAGAAATATATATAGCAGCCCTCGTAATTTGAGTGGTACATACGAAGTCACGAACAAACTTGAATTATCAATGTTATTTTTCAATGTTTTCTGTTTATATTCGGAATGACCACATGCCAATTGTCCTTGGATAATTATCGGACCTTGTCGCGAGATCGCGAAGTGGAAATATGGGATAATCTACACAGGCTCTACGTATATCAATGTGGAACGCCATTGGTGTCTCACTGCATCTCACTAGAATTCTCACAATACTTGAGCGAAAACCATAATGTCGTTATGCTACTAGTGGAAGCGCTTCTTACAAGCAAATAGAACTTTCAAATAAGAGGCTACAAAATCTACCGCACAGATCATCCAGAGGGGAAAGCCCACGGCGGAACCGGAGTTCTAATCAGAGAACACGTTAAACACAGTTTTCACAAAAGGTTTGTCACAAACTTCTCGCAGGCTACATCGATATAAATTCAGTGAAGTAACGGAAGCCTTTCAATCGCTGACGCTCCCCGCTTTTCAATCTCAGAAGGACAATTTGTCGACTTCTACAATTCAATTGGGAGTCTCCTGCCACTGGAGACTCCAATAAGGCCAATCATACTGGGGATAACGTCTAGTGACTCCCAAAGGAAGGCAAATGTGTCAAATAAACTGGACTATGTTTCCCCTGGAAGCCCCACATACTGGTCAACAGACTCACACAAGCTCCCAGACCTTATAGAATTCAAAAAGTTATTCCTCTGCCAACTACACCTTCATTCCGGCCGTATGAAATTAAAAAAGTCATAAGAGGTCTAAAACAAAAAAATGGTCCCGGTGGTGACCTACTGACGCCAAAGATGTTGATAAAACTTCCAAAATCCGTTATAGAGGTCGTCTTTAAACTATTTAATGGGATCATCAATATTGTCTATTTCCCAAAAACGTAGAAGAAATCCATTATATGAATGATACCGAAGCCTGAAAAAGACCACACAATTCCGAGTTCGGTCCGACCAATAAGACTTCTATCTTGTTTGTCTAAATTGTTTGAATAATGCTTGTTAACTCGCATAATACCATTTGTGGAAGCTTACAATATTATCCCGGCACACCAACCTCGCTTCCGAAGAAACCATGAAACCATCGAGCAGCAAGAATACTGTAGCCCTATTTTTCTGGACGTATTTATATAAAGATTTCTATAGTCTATAGATTTAGACCGAGTTTAACTTCATGGACCCATGCACAAATTTGAAAATTTTTGCTAACATACATGCAACGCATCTACTTCAGGCGACTACATCATCAAAGCTGGTGTTCCAAGAGGAAGCACACTCGACCCTTGTCTATATGTTTTGTATTTTGCGGATATTGCTACGAACGCACAACTAACAACATCAACGTTTGCCGACGATATCCTTATTCACTCCAGATGCCCAACACAAGCAACAAACCAACTCGCTAATCATCTTAGCGTAGTGGAAAGGTGGCTGTCTGTCTAGCGCATTAAAATGCTTTAACTAAACGGTATGCAGATCCCTCAAGCTATCGAAGAAACGTACCTTGGCGTCACACTTGATTGAAGGCTAAGTTGAAGAATGCAAAAAGATGCACCTAAAACCATAAGCTAGCAGCCTAAACTAACAATCGCCACTGTGCCTGGGCTACAGGGTAATACTTAAATTCAATCCTAAAGCCAATCTGGACGTATGGATCCCAGCTGTGGGGGAACGCGCGCAGCAGCAACATAGTCATCATGCAGCGCGCACAATCAAAAATCTTGAGAACTATCACTGGGGCACCTTGGTTCGAAACGAAAACATCCACCGGGATCTGGACATCCTCGCAGGGATAGACTAAATTCAAAAGCAAACAGAGTCCTACAAAGAAAAACTGTCTTCGCACCCAAATTTCCTCGTTCTGGGATTGACTCTGGTTTCACTGGGATTGACCAACCCAGCAATTCCGAGTATCCACCGCTGAACGTAGGGAGCGGCAGAGGAGGCAGCACTTGAAAACTTTGACCTAACCCTGGGTCAGCATGGTGGACATTCCGTTGGCAAGGGTGGAGTGGGCAGCAATTCGAGAAGAGCGAAGGGTCATCCCATGCTCAATTTCGGCCAGCATCGTCGCTACGAGCTCCGAAACAGTCCATCGAAGGTCACTGCTGATCTGCAAAATTTCCAAATCCTCAAGTTCCCCGTGGATGGCCTTGAAGTCGCTGAACATGGTGGCTATCTGACTCTGTCGCACGTGTAGCAAGGCATCATCCACCTTGGAAACAGGCTAAAGAGCTCCTTGGATCCTCTGTAAGTCCTGGAGAATACCCAGGGTCTTGCACTTTAAAATAACACTACGGGTTGGAGTGGATGCTCCTGCGGCGGCGCCGCTGGAGTTCATAACTTATTGTATAAAGTTCCGAACAACCGAAGTAAATTTTATTTGCTCGCGGCGAACACGATCTATCCCAGTGTGCGCTCAGAACCGTAGCTGAATTGTGGAATGTATATTGGATCGTAAATATGTATGTGTGCTTGCGAACTAACGTTTATGTTTCTGTCTGTATTTTTGTACAATATATTATATATTATAATTTGTTTATTATTATAAACAAACGTATAAAACTTGTTCACATAACACTGTTTACAAAATTGTTTTGTTTTTGTTTATGTGTATATATATTTAAATATATTAACGATCACGCCGGGGCTCACCAATGTTTGGTCATTGATAATTTTCAATGCCAGTAAATATAAATCAGAATTTAATTAAGTTAAACGTTATAAACTTTATTTGGGCTGCATATGAAATAAGGATTTATGTAAAATATTTGAAATCCAATGTAGGATGCGAGCGCAATAAGAAAACGAACGAGAGTGGCGCCAACCTTCCAGAATAGGCTGAGCGGATGCTCGCTAACTTTAAATGCCGAAATACTAAAGCCGAGCAGCCGAAAGAGAGTCGGCTTGCGACCAACAAAACGTCAGTTAATTATTAATTATTATGTTTAAATTAGTTGTTAGCTGCTTGACCCGACATTCTCCCCCCAGTTGGGGCTTCTACTCCAACTTCATCCTTAAGAGGCAAAAGGCACAG